TAATACTTTTTCAAATTATAACAAAAGCAATAAAATAACAGGACAATTGATAGCAAATATTTTACCTTGTTTTAGATCAGCATTTCTTGGAACTTCGGACAGATAGCAGTTTGGTAAAGGATATGATGAAAACATTGGCCAAGGATACGGATCGTCACCCTAAAAAAGAAGCAAGACAGATAACTTTAGGAAGTAGTTTAAAATATTATTGAATCTTAAGGCTTTCTGAAATATCATTCACTGAAATTGGCTTTTGTTTCATAAAAATTCTACAATTGTAGCCTAACTCACCAAAAACAATTTGATATTACAATTCAGTGCTCTAATGGATAATAACTATAATGAAATGTAATAGAAGCAACATTAATAAGTATTTAAGACAAATACATATGATAACTTGTTCTCGCAACTAGGATTGGTAATCATGGCTTTAGTATTTTTTTTTCATTATTGGAAAATTATGGTCTTCAAAAGAAACCTGCATTTCCTATGTTGCTTACAAAACTGTTTCTCTTGTTCTGTCGATCATTTCTATCTCATTTGTCCCAGAGTGACAACCAAAGCAAAATGTACTTAATAACAATAACAATGAAAATAGCTAAGCCCTTCAAGAGAAAACCAAACTATTAATATTGATAGAAGGAGAGGTACACAATATTGCCAACTATATACAAAAGAATACAGTAATGTCATGAAATTTAGGTGTCATGAAAGAGAAAGGCACCAAAAGTAAAACATTTAGACACAAGGAAAAAATGATAATTTTTTCATAAAATACCCTACTCTGCAATGCAAACTAGCTCATAACCCATGAAGGATACCATTTTTGTTGGAAAGTGTTTACTTGCATTCAGAAGTTTTTCTAGTAATAGAAGTTCAACTCTGTGATGTGGACATTTAGCAGTTGCTGTTTAGTGTCATCTGAATCGGCAACCTTGCTTCAAAATGTATCAGAAACAAATCCCTCCTCCTCTTTACCCCACTCACCTTCTCTAGTATCCTGGGAGGCAAAATTCGTTCTGTTGGTCCACCAATAACATTTATTCTAACAAGAACATGATTTCTCTCTACCGATAAGCCATCAATTATAAAATCCCTGAAAAGTGAATGTATCAATTTGTTATCTCTTTAATTGGACATAATTTAATTTTAAAATCAAGTCACTGGAATATAAANATATTACTAACTTAAACACAGTATTTTAAAGGTACACAGTTAATGTTTAATTTATTGAACTGTATTTAACCAGAAACATTACTTGCAAGCTAGCTTTACACTTGCTAGAAATGCATTTGGCACTATTTTTCTCATTTGGTTTTCAGAGACATCATCACTTAAGTACAATGATAAGCCAGACATGCTTCTGATTGCCTCCCTCATTTTCTGCCATCCTACCATAACTATAGGATCAGTGACGCATCAGCAATATGTAAATGACATGCATTTTATTCATATTTGATTCAGAATGTATCTATGTAAACATCTCTTCCTGGAGTCCTCCTCCTGGGCTATCCACTGGTGTCTAGATCTCCTGCTTACCAAGAGCCATAGTAAACCCGTGATGAGTATTATTAGGAGGGATTACGAGGTACTGCTGTTAAATTATTTGTTTTATGCGAACACTTTGTGTTTTAGGGACAAACAGAAAGACAACAGAAGTTGCTGACCAATACACCGGGAAAATGTGGAATTAATTAAAGAGGCTTGGAATTATACTAAACAAAAAGATACCGTGTGACAGGAAGAAAGTCACAAATGTGTTGGACCTTGTAGGCTACAGCCAATCCACTGGAGGGTTTCAATTAGAGCAGTAATATGATCCAACCTACCATTTCCACAGCATTATTCTAGCTGCTGTCTTGAGAACACACTGAACACTGGCAGGTTACTGCAATAATACAGGTGAGAGATGAGGGTGGTAGTGGACGAGTGAAAGTGGTTTATTTCAGATAAGTAGAGTTAAGAGCATATATGGACAGATTAGATGTGAGGTCAACAGACAGACAGGAGTCAAGGAATACCTTCAGATTTGTTGTCCAAAGAACTTGGAACACGAAGTTGCCATTTCTGAAATGAGCCAAAATACCAAAGCAATAGCTTTTGAGGGAGCATCAGAAGTTTATCTCAGCTTGATATGTTTATTCACCTTCCGTGCAGAGATACAACATAGACACTTACGAGGACAGAGTTCAGGATAGAGATAGGGGTTAAAGATATAAACCCGACAGCCATCAGCATGCTGGACAGTATTTTAGTCATGAGACTAGGCGACTCCCTCCCAAGGGTAAGTACAGCCAGAAAAAAAAGAAGACAGCTGAGCACTGCGGCCTGAGGCACTCCAAAATTTAGAAGTTGTAGACAGGTGAAAGATCCAACAAAGACGACGGAGAAGAATTTGTCAAAAAATGCAGGAGGAAAATCAGATAATCTATTTTCTGAAAGCCAAGTGAAGAAAGTGTTCCCAAAAAAGAGGAAGGGATTTACAATGTTACATGATAATACTAGTTCTAATAGGACAAGGACTGTATCTGAGAGCCTGACCAGTAAATGTAATCACGGTGGAACGGTAGGGGTGAAAGGCTGAGAAGCTTCATGAGAGAAGGGAAAGGGAGAAGCGGGAGCACCAAGATTTGACAATTCCTTCAAGGAATTTTGCAGTCAAGGCACAGAAACGGGATTCTAATGAGTGAGTTCAAAGGAAGATATTTTAAATACAAAAGAATTAAATGCATTCTTGTTGGCTTATGGAAAAGCTACAGTGGAGATTCTCATCAGTCCCTAAAAAAAAAAAAAAGAAAGAAAGAAAGAAAGAAAGAAAGAAAGAAAAAGAACTGTTAGAAGCACTATCTTTGAGAAGAAAGAGGATGGAACGTACTACACAAATGGAGAACCTGGTTTCTGTAAGTAACATCGGTAGTTTATTAATAGTAATAGCAGAAAATCTAAATTGGCACATATGCAGCCATGAGTTCATATACATCAGGAACACATGGAAACTTTTTTCTGTTTCCATTTCATCAGCAAAATGGGGAACAAAGTTATCATCTGACAGGGGGGATGGGAAGAGGTGAGGAAGGTTTGATGAGAGATTTGAAAACAGCCATCTAGAAACTAGGAGAGTAAATGGACCTGGGGCACACTATGACTGCCTGACAGTGTTACCGGCCCACTGAGATTAATAGTCATTCTGCAGTTATCTTCTGTACTAGACAGAGATGCTATCATTACTCCCTTTTCTAAATCACTTATAAGAATAGAGCAGGGAGGAAAATCATACTTCCTCTGAGCACTCATTCCCAGGAATTGATGGTATATATATTTTTTTCTTCTCAGGTTAAGTATCTATTTAATCTTACTTTTTCATTTCTGTCTGCCTTGTTCAGTTTAAAATAAGGCAGATTTTTTACCAAACTATTTTGAAAAGCAAACAAATGATCAAATGTGGTGGAAACATAATAAAACTGATAATGAATTCATTGTTTAAAAAAAAAACTAATAAAATAATATTTGTTTCCAGGAAAAAGGACTGTTACATCATAACAAGGAAAAGGCCTGAGGCAACAAGAATGTACCATGTGTTATACATTATCTTACCTCCAGTGCCTAGTGAAGCACCTGATAATCAGCCCTCGAGAACACGTTAAATAAAGGAATGAGTGGGCAAATAAATTATGAAGCCTAAAACAAGAATGAGAAAATATAAAGACTGATTCAGAAGACTAAAGACAGGAAAACATAAGAATAAGAGATTGAGACCAGTTTGAGTTCACTGAAAAATATGAGTCAGTGGGAAAAGAGCCCACAATGGTATTCTCTCGAGTCTCTTAAAAACTTAATGTCACTCCCACATCTCTAAAAATCAATAGATTAGGTCACACCAGAGAAAAACAGAAGCAAAAATTTTCAAGTGTGTTATAAAGACAAATATTAAAAACTTTAAAAGTTTCTTCATGCTTTTTCTCTTTTCCTAAACTCTAGGTATGTAGAAACAAAATTGTGAGATATATAATGTATATCTCAAACACTAAGTAAAAACAAAAATCATGTATATCAACTGATGGGCTCTAATGATTGGTTTAAATAAAATAAATGTAGGGAAAGGTAAGTGACGTATAAAGCCTCACACAGAAGAAAAAAA